TTAGCTGTGGTCTTAGCTGTGGTCTTAGCTGTTGTTTTAGCTGTGGTTTTAACCGTGGTTTTAGCTGTGGTCTTAGCCGTGGTCTTAGCTGTGGTCTTAGCTGTAGTCTTGGCCGTGGTCTTGGCTGTGGTCTTAGCCGTGGTTTTAGCTGTGGTCTTAGCTGTGGTCTTAGCTGTTGTTTTAGCTGTGGTTTTAACCGTGGTTTTAGCTGTGGTCTTAGCTGTGGTCTTAGCTGTAGTCTTAACCGTGGTTTTAGCTGTGGTCTTTACTGTAGTCTTAGCTGTGGTTTTAGCCGTGGTCCTGGCTGTGGTTTTAGCTGTGGTCTTAGCCGTTGTTCTGGCGGTAGTTCTTTCGGCATTTGTAGTGGCTTTATGGGTAGTATGATACTCTGGATTATGAGTAGTATAATGCTCCGGATTATGGTTATGGTGTTCGTGAAATTCAGGTTTATGGTGTTCGTGAAATTCAGGTTTATGGTGTTCGTGAAATTCAGGTTTATGGTGTTCGTGAAATTCAGGATTATGGTGTTCGTGAAATTCAGGTTTATGGTGTTCGTGAAATTCAGGTTTATGGTGGTTGTAATATTCAGGTTTATGGTGGTTGTAATATTCAGGTTTATGGTGGTTGTAATATTCAGGTTTATGGTGGTTGTAATATTTAGGTTTATGGTGGTTGTAATATTCAGGTTTATGGTGGTTGTAATATTCAGGTTTATGGTGGTGGTTGTAATGTTCAGGTTTATGGTGGTTGTAAGATTCAGGTTTATGGTGGTTGTAATATTCAGGTTTATGGTTTTCGTGAGATTCGGGTTTATGGTGATTGTGAGATTCAGGTTTAGGAATATGTGGAGGATATTTACGATGCTTGTAAGAATCAGGGTTATGATGAATGTGATGATGATGAGGTTTGTGATGATGATGATGTTTGTGATGATGATGAGGTTTGTGTGTTGTATGTGTTGTATGGTGGTGATGGTGGTGATGATTATGGTGAGGATGATGTTTTATTTCCCGTTTTTCGAAATTTTCTTGAAATCCATCTTGGGCAGCAGCGATAGTAAGGAATAAAAGAATAATGGAGGCGAAAGAAAAGATGATGGAACGAGGGAAAATCATATTGAATGGATATGAAAATCCAAACGTAGGGGAATGTAATCTTAAGATTATTACATTTCAAAAACTAGACATTGGTTCTTTTTATAATGAAAAAGAGTAATTATCTGTCATATAAAACAAGATAATAAATTCAGAATTTCATTGATAGAATTTAATTAAATATAAATAGTAGTACGAGTATTTGGATTAGGAATTAAATATAAATAGTAGTACGAGTATTTTATCAGGATATGATTGTAATTTTCAATATCGCGGTGTTTGTAATCCTTTATTAACCAAGACATGTGCACACGATATAAATTTCTAGGTATTATTAGTTCAATTTTATTAAATTAAAATTCAATTTGCTGTTGGTGTTCGATATTTAAAAGAAAGTAAATACAATAAACTAGCTTGAATAATAGTGTATATATTGTGCCTCAGATTAAAACTTGCGTCTTATCAAAACTGTGCACACTAGGTTACGCAAAGTTTTGCATTACCCGCCACCCAAATTTTTTTTTTTTTTTTTTTTTTTTTTTTTTCAGAGTTCCAATTTTGCCAAAAATCTTTTTTGTCGGGTATTACCAATTGGTGACCTTTGTTTTTCCGGAATCATCCGATACTTCGGGCTTTAAATTTATAATTTTTTAGACTAAAACATGACGGTAACAAATAAAATTGTAAATCCGGGATCTGGTCTGTACAATTCTCAGAATTTGATTGGTCCGCGTGACTCTGTTCGTCACATATATAGAAGCTAATTTAAGAAAGTTTGTACAGGCAAATTCTGTTAATAGGAAGGAGAAACTTTGTCCTTCATAATAAAGTAACAAAACTAATTTTTTTTTTGATATTTATTGAACATAAAATATTAGATTCAATCCAGGAACTTCTTTCCAATTTAATTTCTCCAAGAATGCCTATAAAATTCTTTCAGATAATTAGATTGCGTAATGCGAACAGTGGTTTAAATAGCTTATTAAAATTTAGGATTATCCGATATTTTAGTAAAATTTGAGGCAAAAAACCTATTTTATTACATATATAAAAACTAATTGTTTTAGCCGGTAAATTAAAAAACCAATATTTAAAACACTAAATGTGAAGTATAATAAAACTATCAGCGTTTTTAATAAAAACAGCCAATAACTGAAAACTTTGTTTCTAATTAAAAAATTTGTTTGACACAACGTATAATTTAATTCTAATATTGAAGATAACGCAAGCACTATAACTTTAAATTTGTTGAAGTGTTCTCGGGTTAATTTGCTTTAAGTTTTCTGCGTCAATCTGCGAATAACTTACATTTTAATCTACATGATGCAAGCTGGCCCAAATTATCTTAGAATAGGGTTTCCTGCATTAATCACACATGCACGTCAGATTCTTTGGTAATACTCTATCTTATTGAACGGAATTATACAAATTAGCCTGAATTATAATTGCACTGCGCAGTGACCCATGCCTCATTGGGGCTGCCGATATACTAATTAAATCAAATCTATGACAGACATTCAGATTTTATGCATAGATCAGCAAAATTGTATTTACTAACGAAGACTAGTATTCAAAAAATTGACACATCTCACGTACGTACGTAATTTTTTTCTAACAATTTATACATCAAACAATTAGTTTAATATAATTAAACAAGGTTACAGTTTAAAAATTTTTAATTAAATTAGTAAAAGTTTTTGTAATATTGTTCAAACTATAAAATAAAATATTAAATTAATCGTTTTATGTCGTGACTAGTAATGGAACCCAGCAGTTTTCAGTCAGAATTTAGGCTTTTTCCAAAACCCAAATGTATTCCCAAATATTTTTACAATCCTAAATTTCTACCCAAATCCCAAACATACACTCAAATCCCAAAAGCATGACGATGATAAAATTTTTACTATAATCGTATAGTTGCCGTTCAAACCAAACTTGTTTGGGACTTTGGGACATTTTAGAATATTGGGACTAGTTTAATTATATTGGGACTAGTTTAATTGGAACAAGTTTAGGACTTAAATTGTCCCAAACTTATAAACTGGGATTTGGGCCAATGGTTATAACTATTTGGACGGCAACTATAAATGATCGCCGATTCAAAATAAATATTGTAATAATATTTTGATTACTCAAAAAAAATAACCTTTTTTTACATAAATCGATGTTTTTTTTAAAAAATAATAATAATAATAATAATAAAGAAATTTTCAAAATATTTTTTTATTGGATCTTCGCAGCAAGTTGAATAAATACATATCAAAGATTTATTAATTTAACTAATAAAAGATTGTAGAGTTAACGGTATACTGAGGATAGTGGAAATTTATTTTCGTATAGACGATATTGTAAAAATAGTGATATTGTAAAAGAAACTTTAGAACCTACAGAAGAATACAATAATTTAGCGTAATATATCATATAAAAACATGTAAATGCTACAAATAATTAATAATATAAAAAATTGATGCATTTTATACGTAATAACGATAAAAATTGATGCTTGTTAATTTTAAAAGTTATCATAAATTAAATAAACTTATATTACTATATTTTATTTTGGGATTTTATTACTGAAAAATCCAAATTAGTTTCGGCTATTTGGAATCGGGCATGTTATGAAACTATCACGTTTGTGTCTCATAACTAATCCCTACACGATGATTGGTTATTAGTGTATTAAAAATTTATATCCTGTATTCTGTGATTGTTTTTTGTTAATAACAGATTTTAATACACAAACGGGTGACGTGAAAAGTTTTACAATTACACATTCTGAAATAAATTTCTATCATAAAATGTGCGTAACCTTTACATCGCTTGCTATTTAGGTATCATCTGAGTAATAATTTGATTTAAACTAGGAAAACGGGATTCGTTGGATTTCGGAACGCCGCTTCACTTGAACAATGTTTTCATGTGAATAATATATTAAATTTTATTGGTATTGTTTCTGCTTTTACAACTTGGGAAAAAAGGCACTATATTAATAATCCTGCTGGTACGTACGTACATTGTAAACGATCTGTTTCCAATCATTGAGTATGATACTGAAGAAATAGCATTGGGGTACAGTATATTATGTAAAATTATATGTGGTATCATATAATAGATATTTTTATGTAACTTCGAATTCTTCGTGAAAATAGATGTACAGCCAAGACGGAAGCACATGAAAGCACAGGTTTCAAAACCTCACGTGCTCGAAGAAGCTTGGTCCGAAATATTATTGCTATACAAAGTTACGAAGTTATTTTTTTATATTTTGTTTGTAGAAGCATGATATTATTCTAAGCTATTAAGCAGTTAAATTTCATAGTTTTTGCATGTTAGCGAAAAAAGTTATAAGGACGTTACAATATAATTTTGATCGATCGAATTATAGTGTTTATTTTAAAATTTTTTCTTATGCCACCTTATCCTATTCCCGGAACCCACCTGGAATTTTTTTTTCTTGCCTATTGTCTGGACTTAAGATCCTCCACTCTGCTCCTGAAATTAAAATTTCTGTGATTAGTTTAGATTTGCATATTATATACTAATTTGTTTGTTCCGATATCTCGAGTAATACAAACTCTAAAATGAAGTAGACACAAATTTAACTATTCCACATTACCGTTTGTTTAAATAGAAATTAGTGCACCAATAAAAAATTATGAGAATACCGTGTAAGTTACACAAATTTCCCGACCCTTGGCACTCATTTAAAAATTTCCTTTTTGGTTTGTGTTATTAGCACAAATAATAATGCCAATGTTGCAAAATAAGGATAAATCTCAAAACAGTGCTCTAAATACATATTATGCAGCCAAGGGAAAACCCTATTTAAATGAACCAATGATATAATATACGTATAAACTGAATTTAATTCTAATCTTTTTTATGGTGCAAGCGAATTACCGTAACTATAATGAGCTACGGCAAAAACTCATTATAGTTACGGCAAGTTACGGCAATCAGCCTACATCTCTAGTTGCAACTCATTATGCAAATTTTATTTTCCGAAGAAACGGTTAATGTTTGTTTGTTTATGTAACAATGAAATGAAATTACAACAAAAACAAATAAATTCATTGAAAAAATATATACGTACGTATTTAGAACGCAGCGATATAATCAGGGAGCGTATGGTTAACTGTTGTTACTATCGTAACTGTGCTTCACCTTACAATTAACAATCATTTCTTTATCTTAATTGCTATTGTCTTTATTTATGTACACGATTTTATTGTAATACTGTTAGATCATCTTTAATTTGTTAGTATATGATATATTTCCAAATTAGTCTCAGGTAATCGTTTGTCATGTTGTTTAGATTCTTCAACATGTACATGCTATGCATTGGTTATTGAGAAGTAAGATAATGTTAGGCTACCTAACACTAACTTACTTCCCAATAATTAATGCGTACATTTCAAGGGATCTAAACAATACGACAAACGATTATCTGAGTAGTGATAGGCTCAACGGCCGGGCCGGTTAATGTTTAGATGCAATTCTCTCTAAAGTCAAATTTCAAGCTAAGAATCTGTAGCAGGAATGAAATGTAATATATTGTATGGTTTAATGGAGAGTAAAGTGTCCGTCCGACAAACTCCTGAATCTGATTGGATCCCGTTGTCACATGGTTTTTTTGAGTGTTTTGCTATTTACGTATGTACAAAAGTATCGCCCTAATTTTTATTACAACTGTTTTCATTATTTTTGGGACATCTGGTAAAAAAAAATTGACCGAATGATTTTTTGCCGATTCGATAAGTTTTTGATTCAGCAGTGATAAACTTTTGATTTTGGCGTGACTAGTAATATAATGATATTCTTTTTGCGATCGTATTCTAAACGATACTTACAATGTCGACACACCCAAAATTAAGTTTTCGTTTGAATGCATGTTGTAAAGGGTTACCAGACTCTCCGACCTCCAACCTACTATTTTTTTTTATTATTACTTTATTTTTATTTTTTTATTACCTCTTTCTTTTCCTATACCGCATGCCTATCCTTTTTGGGTATGGATCCAACAAACTTGTTTATTGTCACGGGGAGTTTTGACACGGGATAACAATCATTACCATATCTAGTAAAATTGTAAATAATGCTAGACCGGTATTAATTGTAATACATTTAATAAAAGCGTTTAGCCAAAGAGGTTACTTGTATAAAAAAAAAAAATTTATTAATAATATTATATTATAAATCAAATCATTGAGTGTAAGTGAAATGTTATGTATAAGGCAGACTTTTTTCTAACAAATAAATGACTGCAAAATATTATAAAACAATAACAAAATAATATTTTTAATAACAAAAATGACATATTTTTATAACATCCAACTCTGCAATCTTGTCAAATTGACATCATTGTGTGTAAGTGAAATGTTATGTATACTGTATAAGACAGTGTTGGTAATGTGACAAATATGACTTTTTTATAACAAATAAATGACTGCAAAATTTTATAAAATATTATAAAACAATAACAAAATAATATTTTTTATGACAAAAATGACATTTTTATGACATTCAACTCTGCGATCTTGTCAAATTGACAACACTGATATATAAGAAGAGTATCAGAAATGTAAGAAAGTCTGGCATACGTATATAGTAGTTAAGAATTTGCAAAAAAGATTTTTATTGCTTTGAATTAAAAATTTAAATTGTTTGAGCAATAATTTACAAAGCTCTATTGAAACACGTTAGCCGACTAATATTTTTCTGGATTGGGATATAATTTTTTGCATTTCCGCATGTATTTTCACCTACTTCAAGTATCTGCCACAATCCTATTTTTATACAATAATATTAATATTAACAATAAAATCAAGAACCAAATCTCAAAAAAGAACTCACCATTATTCGATCGATTAATAAGGCACATTATAACAGCTTGAGAATTTGCGGCTTGTTTTATAGTATAATTACATAATTGCCTTTCTGGGTCTGCTTCATCATATAATTTAAAACTTGGATTTCGAAAATGTCCAATTGTCGGAGATCTCCACGAACTTAGGATTAGGTAAAGTTGACCGACATTATTAGGAAGTTGGTCAAGCTTCACTGATATTTTGTGATGTCCTCTAGCTATAAATATTTTAAAATATATCAATTATATTGGAGAGTAACAGAATATTATAAAATTTTAATATAAACAAACCATTTTCGTGATCTATAACATCACCAGAATGCTTGATATATGGTATGCTAGGATAAAATGAGGATAAATAGTCATATTTTTTCCACAATTTATCACTGGCATATATCAAACAAGTACCATCAAGAAAGTCTTGTCCTGAACTAGGGAATCCCCAATATAAATCGAAAATTAAACTTGTTAAAGCTTGATCCTGTGTAATAGAGTAAAGAACGACAATAAGCTGAATATGACTATTTGAATGAATTCCATAGTTTTCTAGTGTGCTGCTATTAGTTGTGTCATCTTGAAAGTCCTGTATAGAAAATTTGAATAGTAATAATTAAAATAATTAAAATAATTAAAATAATTAAAATAATTAAAATAATTAAAATAATTAAAATAATTAAAATAATTTAATTAAAATAATTTAATTAAAATAATTAAAATAATTAAAATAATTAAAATAATTAAAATAATTAATAGTCTATAATAAAAGATACATAAAATGAATAAATAGATAAATTAATAAACAGATAATGTACATTAAGTTCCACGTCATTATGAATTAATTTTTGTTTTGTAATTTCTATCTTAGTAGCATCTCTTAACGCATATTTTAAAGCTTTAACGGTCTTAATTTCAGAAGTCTTTAACGTTATCTTTTTTCCATTTAATAGGACAACGTAAAAAACACCCGAATCTGCATCATTTGGACCAGAAAGTTCTGCACGCGCTTGCGAAAGGCTTTCGATATCAATTTTAAAGCTTGAATTATTCCAGAACAGGAAGCAATCGTTAACTTCTTGTTCAATTAATTCAATTTTACATATAGGACATTGATGCGTTTCTTTTAGGTGACTCACAAGACACTGACCGAAAAGAATGTTTATAAGTGATATAACACATATGTATAGGTAAAGTATTGAAACGTATCGTACCTCCAAACACCAAGACATGATATGTTCACATTTTGAACTAATTGTACCGTCCGGAAACTCTTTTGAAAGTTTTGTAATCTGACACTGTTCACATTTCATTATTAAGGCTTTCTTCAAAGGGTCAAAAATTAAAAATTATTGTCGTTACTGTATTAAAAGAATATTACCTATTTGACTTCTAAATGATTATTAACGATCACAAAAAAACTTTAAATCCAAAATTAGAAACAATGACGATATGTTATGATTTTTTCTTTGTGAATTTACATTAGCGTTAGAATTGAATTTTTGTGTTCAGAAAATTTTTTTGCCAAATACCATATTATATAACCGATCCACATAATCGATTATCAATCTTATGCGCGAAACTTGAGAACTACGATTAAATACCATAAATATACACATAGTTGTTCTCACGATCAATGTTTAGATTTATACTACTTATTATTATTCGATTTATATAGTTATCGATGTATGCAAAAAACCTGATTTTTGATTAGGCATATTTAGATACTTTAAGGAAATGCCCCTTTCATGTATCTTCTGACAAATAAGATTCCATGGAATTAATACGTACCGGTACGTAAAAGAAATTAATGTCAATTAATGTATAACGATAAACGATGGCTGTGATGCCTAACTAGCCTAACTAATTTAATATTAATATGTTTTACAGAATTTAGAGTTTATGTAGTAATTCACGATAAACCAAATTTAGATAAGTCACATTGCTATTGTTTCTAAATTAGAATATTTAGTAAAATATTTAGTAAATGTATTTGGTAAACGTGCGAATGCAAAAAAATCGCCTCAATTTTCTGTTGGTGAAATTCAAACGAAGCATAAGTTAATAATTTCTTTCTTCTAAAGATATACTATCAAATATCATCATGAGTGAAGACGATGGAAGTGACTATCACGATTCTATCAGCGATGATGACGATAGTTTAGTTATTAATAGTGAGATTTATATCACATTTCATGTTCATATGCCTGAAAAGTTTGATGAATCGATGCATCCTTTGGTTGTTGGCAGTATTAAAGAATTAGGAAATTGGAGGCATCCGTATGTGAAGTTGCGCCAACTTAATACTAGTTCCACTTATTGGATTTCAGATCCAATTAAAATTAATGTAAGTAGAGATGGGTATCATGCGTGCGCATGATACCTGAAACATGCGCATGAATGCGCATTCATGCGCATTTTTCCGTTTCATGCGCATTTTTGCCCATCAAGAATTTATATATGTTTGGTTAGGCTGC